TCGTTAGGCTCCTTCCAACTGGTCCACATCTGTCTTGAACTATGATGATTACAAACATTGTTCCAGCTGAGGTCTTACCAATACTGCACAGATCAAGACTACACATTCTGCAGGTCACCTTCCTGCTCACAACCAAACTGTTCCTCACTCTCCCTTTTTTTGCAGAAGCATCAAGGAACATTAAGCTAAACTTATATGTCTGAAGGAGAAACCTTAAGTGCAGTAGAAGATCGGGCAGATTAATAAATCAGATAGCTGCCTACCAAAACTGACAAAGATTATTGTAAATTTAGAATTCCAAGTTTGAATGCATTGCATTTTACATAAAACGTCATCCGCATACTTAAGTTCTTCCTTTTCATTCCTTGCTGCAAATCAGCTTGAGGTGTAAGCTTCTAAATAGAACTTGGAACCATTTTCAGTAAAGGTTCCAGTGAAAAGATGCATGTTCTTCTTGCAGAGATACCATAAATATCTTTTTTTCCCCTGTTTGTAGAGAATTTGGAACCTTACTCTATCACATTTAGTTATGCAGCTCCAAATAACATCTCCCAGACTAGTCAGTCAACCTACTCAAGATCCTTTCCCTTTTAGGTATTCTTGCAATTTTAACAGCCCATGCTTACAAAAACATGCACCTAAATTCCATGGAAACTTTTCTAAATGCAGTCACTTCTTGTCATAGGCAGCTGATATTTAGGATGTCATGCCAGAAGCACAAATTCTCTTATGTTTAAAAGTTAAGATTGAAAGAGAAGCTATTTGTAGGGTACTGGAAGTAAGTTGGACAAAATTCTCTTTTTTTATTAATTCTCACATAGCAAGGGCAAATTAAACATGCAGATGCTACTGTAAAGAGTGAAAACGGATAAATATTTCTAAGGCAAAACTATATTGCTACATTTCTGTCATTTATCCCATCGGCAATTATTTTTTAAAATAATCTGATCACATTACCAGCAAGGCAGCAACGTCAGGTAAACTTCAAATAATATATATATATTTTTAAATAGGATTATTTTTAATAGCAAATATATTCCAAATGGCCAACAACTTAAAAAACTACTATTCTTCTTGCTAGAAAAGATTTTAAAATTCTTTAAGCAAATCCTCATAACCAGGGCATGCAAAAACATTTTTATGACTGCAGTGAAGACAAAAAATACCCTGAATTAAACAAGCAAAAGCGTGAAAACTTTATCGTCATTTGTTTCAGCATGCTGCCCAGTATATTATTTGGGGGGAAGGGGAAAATACATTTAATTAAAAAATATTAACAGACAAGGAGAAAAAAACGCTGCAAGTCTTTAATGCATGGTGAAAAATATACCACTTTACCTGCTGGAAAAAGTCATCCATAAAATGGTCTTTTTCAACAATAACTGTCTCCCCATCTTCATTTTTTTTATACTGTAAAAAAACAGCAAAACAAGTCGATGAAATACAACTCGGGTTTCTCTTCTGAGACCACTAAGACTACTTCCACATTGCTACTGCATATATATTTTAATCAATAGCCTCCAAGGTCAAAAAGGAAGTTTTCCTCTTCCAAGGACTGTAATCTAAAGACAAATAAGCAGAGGTGTCAAAGGAAGTCACCTGACTGCCATGAAGTTGTGAATGCACGTACTCCTCTGAACAAATTTAGGACAGAAGTAGTGTATTGGGGATTTTACAGTTTTCATTAGCTGTCATAAAAATTATTAAAACACAAATTATCACAAAAAATATACAAACGGTCTCTCACAGCATAAAGACACATTCAGTTAGTCCCATGTGAACTGAAAATAATATTCAGTTTCACCAATACCTAGAGAAAATAAATCAAACCCTCTCAAAGAAATACCAAAAGTGGCGTTGAAGACTTTCTGACTTGTGATGTAACGAGCCAAGCATCTAATGAAAACCTGTAAAACAAAAAGCTATCAACATCTGCTTACTACTTTTTGCTCTTGGGTACTTTCAAGGCTCACATTCCACACCGATTTAGATATAATCATGTTGTACTAAACTGTACGTGCATTACATAATCTAGAGATCCTCAGAACAGTGAGACAGAAGCTCCAATGACACATTCTTACTGGGAGGGTCACTGTGGCGATCCATAAATCCCCTGAGTCATACTTCCCTAAGTCATGAGCAAGCCTAGTAGAACAAGTGAGTTTTCACAAAGATTCAAATTTGGTCCAAAGAAGAGAGAATGAACATGCATTACACAAAAGCACAGAGCTCTAGCGTTTCATGTTCTCTAACTCAATCTGTAGAACGCAGACCGTTTGAACTGCATTTAATCAAGATTAGAACAAAACAGTAATTACTATATCTTAACCATACAGTCTAGGTGTTATCTGATAGAAAAGACAAATGACAGGATAGGTAATATTAAAAGACATTCATGCCCAAACCTCCTCTTTCTCACAAGCCCCTCTGCCTTTGATCTTCCAACATCCACTTTCTACTCCTCAGACCCTGGTCCAATTAGTCAATAATCCCTTTGCTTCTGGTTTTATTAAATTAGATGAGGTATAGATTATTTGCATGACAATTCTACAGTTTAATCCAATATCAAAACACTGCTATTATCCAGTACAGAAGGTTATATTAAGTGATAATCTAATCATCAAAATACTAGGGGTGCCTCACATTTCCAAGGAAAGTTATTATTTATATTTTGTGACAGTTCTTTTCCTGCAAATTCAAAAAGCCTATAAAGCCCTGTATGACAATATTATTGCCAGAAATAATCTGTTTTGTTATATTCATGGGAACCATAATGCCCCAACTGAAATAAAAATATTAAGATGTTATTGCTCTCCTGCACCATTCTCCAGTTATCCACAATGCCTCTCTCCAAAGATTTTAGGCAACGATTCATCTGGGGGAGATGACTGTTGGAACTCAATCAATAAAGAATTTGTCCTTAGGGATTCTGCTGATTAACAGGCTTGCTCAATGGAAATAAGCAAGGAAGACAGCACCCCAAAGAAGTCAATCATGCAACTTCTACCCATATCAGAGATTGCAGTGCTAGAAAGCTACCAGTTATAATTTAAGAATGAATTACACTTCAAAGAAGTTTAATTTCATTATCTACAGAAAAGAACACCTTCTGCTTATATTTACTTGGTAAACAATCAATTTTCCAATTATTTATTAAAAAAAGTTTTGTATTAACTGAAATAAAACCTATTAAAATAGCATCAGCTATGAGATTCAGCATCTGTGAGCCTCTTCTTTGGACAGAAGAGCTTAGTAAAATATTTAAACACACTTCAGTGAAACTTAACCAAATGAAAGATATGAAATCTTATGAATAAGTTATTTGGAGAGGTTAGGCTGCAATCAAGCAGTTATGATTATGCAACCTACAGTAACTTCCACGTACATTTCACTTTCACATTTCGTTGCAGTGATACAGATGACAGATCTATTGGCTGTTTAACAATTTGTTGGAAGGATCTGCGGACTGCCTACTATGAACATCAGCACTTGAAAGACATCTGATGACTTGTCAATCTCTATTCCTCACATTCTTTAAATAATCACTTCCTTAAAATAGAGCTTATTTGATCATTTTCAACTTAAGGAAAGTGATGCACTTTCTTTGGAAGAGCACAATATTCATCTAAAAACACACTTATTTTCATAATCAAGTTTAGAAGACAGATAGTAATTTTTTCTCCTACACCTTATGCTACCAGGATGAGCAGTACCACAAAAACCTGATAAAAAGCTTTAATTAGATTGTACTGGCATTCATATGAAGTCTGCTTTGCAGCTCTTACCTTATCTTGGGATTGAGAACCTGGGCCATACAACTCTATGATATATTTTAAAGTCTGTAAGTATTAAGTTCCCTCAGAAGTTGGTTAACATGACAGAGTTCACAGATATTTGGAGATCATTACTATCAGCTCCCTGTAGGGGCTATCCTATTGGTTTATTAAACTTCTGACATTCCTCATACGTTATAGAATTGCAGAAATACTCTAGCTTGAGAAGCCTTACCACATTAATTATGGCAATTTGAAAGAGAAAAGACCTTTTGGACTAAAACCATGACTTTTACTTGCCCATGAAAGTCCCTTCGAGTTCAGTTATTCTTAGTCTTGTTCATCAGCTGTATTGTTGGGCAAACATCTGACAGGCTGCAAGAATAATAGCTGACCAGCATTATCCCAATGAATCAGCCCTAAACTGCTGCCAGGGCAACATGCTGTAACAGCATACTGCAGTGAGAGCATAAGAGAGCTGCTGAAGCACAGCACCACAGCGTCCCATCCTGTTCCTACCCTGAGGATGCAGCAGCTGTGCCACTGCTGGGCATACATAACAGAAATCTGAACATTTCCTTTAAAAAAAAAAAAAAGTCTAGAGAACTTACAGGCTAAACAAACTAAGCTGCATAAAGTTATTTCGCATACAAAAATCAAGCACCTGAGGGACAGCAAATGCCAGATTTACAGCTACCCATGCAAACTGTAGCTTAGCTCCTTTGTACACACACACTCCCACATTACTCAGTGAACTAGATGGGCATACAAGGAAACAATGCTGACAACACCGAAAATAACCTTTATGGTTGCCCGTTTCCATTAAAGGATTGCTTTTATTATCCAAGAAATCTTTTAACTTCCTAAAATTACTACTTACATATTTTAATAGAAAGTAGAATTTTTTTCCTATATGGAGAGTCTATCTTTTAACAGACTACAATTTTTACCTGACATCTCCTACATTAAAATTGAAGTTTTCCCAGTCTGTTCTACTTAAAATACTTTTTATTAGATAATTTCTGACTCCAGAGCTATTGATCTATATGTCACTGAATCCATGTTAATCTGTGTGCACTCCTGACCATGAGCACGTAGCTTTTCAATTTTTTCCTCACAGCATCAGTCTTTCAAGAAATTTTCTTTATCACAGGTAGTAAGCCTTTTCCCTTACTGAGGGCCAACCAGATCAGTCAGGCACCTTTAGCAGGTCAATCGCTAACATGCATGTTAGTAGCATTACTGCACAACATAGAAAAAGATCATATCGTGACCAACTATAGGAAACTACTTTATGCTGTTATGGCATGGAAAACTCATAGCTCATCGTTAGAAGAGTCTATGCTTAAACAAAGACTAATGTAAAAAATGAACTCAGAAGAAATAACTTGGCAACTTTTTTCCTCACTCTGAAAAGTTCCTCTTCCAGTTTTTCCTTACTGCTACAATTCTACCGATTTTAAATTTTGTGACTTTGTGGTTCTTTACCCTACTCCTAAATAGAACTTTTGGGGCACTAAGTGAATGCACAAGAGGTTATTCACAAAAAATAAAAATAAAAAAATCAGTGCAGTTCTGTTCAAGTTACTGTAAGCATTAAGTTTGCTTAAGCAGAAAAGGTTTATATCTTACATCTTTAAATGGCATAACAAAAAAAAAATTTGAACTCTATTAGCAGATCTTTAAAAGGACATCTGTTTTTCTGTTTTTAATACCCAATGCTGGCTAGATGTGCTGAACCCACCATCAGAGCACAGACTGTATAACTCTTTAAAATATTAACATCATTTTAATGTGGTCGTGTAACCCCAAACTGCAAACCATTCAGGGCTAGGAGAATAGGCCAGGGAATCATTGCTACGTGCTTGCCCTGTTGTTCTTTTCTTCACTATGCATACGCCATTGAGCACTGTTGAAAACAACATGTTGAGTTAGGTAGAACTTTTTATTCTCATTTTAATCTTACACTCGTTTTGGCTAAAAATAACTAAATACCTCTGGAACTTGATGAATTGTCCAGTCAATCGCAGCAAAGGAATAAAAAAGAGAGCAGACAGAATAATTTGTAAACAAGATGTTGAAATCATCCCCCAGAAGTGAACAAATACACGTAAGGCTGTTATCTTCTGAGAAACGTATGTACATTGCAAGACTCTTCCTAGCTGACAAATAATAAGCAGCAACATTATCTGCATGTCCACAACAGTTTCTCTTTCCAGGAAGTATTTTAGCACTATTTAACTGTCTGATATAGTGTATGAACAAAAGTATCCACAAGTTGAGATAATTTCATCTGCCAATGGACCATGAACATTAATAACTAACATTGCTTGCTATCCTTTATAAAGAGAAATCTAAGAAAACAAAATCTTCCATTTTAAGTGACAAAATAATTTTCTTGCCTTCAATTACAATTCAGGAACATGGAAATGAGGACTTGTAAACTTAAATGTGTGTTTCTTCTTAAGGGAGCATTGCATTTATTTAAAGCAGGTCAGTGTGGACTGGTTAAAGTGCTACGATCTCTTAAACGATTTGTGTAGCATATCAAGTCTTTTAAGGAAACAAGATGGAGGTAGCTTTCATATAAGATATAATCAATTAAATACAAAATAACATTCTCACATTAAGGC